TTTTGCGCGCGTCACGACTTTTAAATGCTACTCAGTTTTTGGACTCAGACTTCGATTGTATTTAATTTTACGCTTCTTTTCTGCACCGACAGCAAGCAGGCAAGCAGACTGTCTTGCGCCAAAAAATTGGTACATGTCATTTATCGTATGAATAAATCAAAAGCGAAGATTACAGAGCTCACAATCAGCTAAATTATTTCACGTAATCTGGCGAAATACGATGCTTGCAGAACCAATTAATGGAATTTTGCAATTACAATGAAGAAATGTGAGCGGGTGCATTGTCACAAAGGAACTAAAAGTTGATTGCTTTGACCGAAATAAAGATACTAATGAACGCATCCGTCTGAGATTTTAACAGCAGCCCTGAGGAGAATCAAACTTGTCTAAAATTATAACAATTTGATATTTGTAATGTCATTTCTATATCAGATCGAGAACTGTTCGAACTACTCTTGTATGTATGTAATATAATATATGCTATTAAAAGCTATTAAAACATTGATTTTAAATGCAGCTTTAGCATGATTTTTCTCCAAAGAAAATTATATGGATTTTATAACTTTATTATATAATAACTTTAAGATACCTTTTTTTCTCTTTTAAAGCTATTATATTTTTAATTACGAAAACTTAAGAAAAAAATTGATTCCAAATTTCTTAGACAAACTTTGATTAAAGTGAAGTTTAATTAAAGTAAGCTGTGAAATATCGAATATGTACACAATACATATGTGTACATCGTGTTTATCACGTATCGCAGCGCCGTGAAACAGTTAGATCTCGTGCGCGAACAATGTCTTCTAAATAGAAAGGAGGATGTCTCGTGCATGGATGCATCAGCTGGTTGATCGTGCAATCTCCCTCGTTACATTCAGAACGGAACCGAGATATCGCTCGTTGTGTTTTCGGGATTACGCCTCCTTGCCTCCTTTCGCTCCCGTATCTTCGTGAGGATATAATTGTTGAATTTCGCTTCTAAGCAGAATTTATAATTTCTGTAATCTCTAATCTTTCTCTTTCAATTATAATTTGTTTGTTTCACGGGAACCTAATTATTATATTGAAAAATAAAGTGTGCGTGTAGCGGCTTGTAGTATGGAATAAAACTGATACACGTCGTACATTATTTATGTAAAAATTTTTCTACAATTTCATCCCTTTTTATTTGCACACACAACGTTTTTTTTTTTTTGACTCAGTTTTTAAACTTTTATTTTATTCTATATCTTACGTGTGTTAAGTAATAAATGTGTTAAGTAATTAAAGTTCTAATTATGATCAAAGAATAGAATTTCATTTTCTTGATACGATACGCGAAAAATACCAAAATACTTTGACATTATTATTATGAATAACATACAAGTAATAGTCCAAAATCTAGACTTGTGATCTTTTCAATATGAGTCGAAGCATGCGTCTCGTTTATGCTTGAATGACCGTAAAAGTATAATAACTTCGTTGGCGGACACGTCATCGCCTTAGGATGTGCAGTACGATGGCACTTAGCGGATCCGTAACGGCACGTCCGTTTTACGTCGCCCACGTCGTTTGCAGTTGCGGCGCGGAAAAAAGCCGCCGTTGCCGCCGGGAGAGGAGATGCATGCGAGCGAGAATGCGGCATCGAAGCCCAAGGAGAACCACTTTTCGCTACACCCTACATATATTCCGTAGCTATCTCCTCGATTCGCGATCCTAACTGTAGCCGGCCGGCCGGCAACAATATTAGTCGCCTATAGTTGTTCCCACAGTAGACACGAAATTGTGATATCTTTTTTGTTCTTTATCGGGAATTCCATTATTATTCTAGCCACCATTTCTAACAATATCGATGGTTTTTACTTTGCTATTTTATGAAATAAATTTAATTAAACAATTAGGCAACTTAATTTCATCGTAATATTCAGAAACTCTTAAGAAACTTTTCGGAAATTCAGTTGAAATTTGAAAAGCTATTTGTCGTTCGGCTCTTCTTATTTGCCACGTTTTCTGAACTTATC